AGCAAAGGAAACTGGAGACCTCTATCCCTGCAAATACGGAGATGCTCTGAGCAGTGGCGAGACCATCATATCATGTACGGAAGATAAACATTGCAATGGAGGTGAAGAGGATAGCAGTAAATGGGACTATGAGTGTGTAAATTCAACAACTCCTAACCATAAACATTGCTGCCCAGGTAGGATATCAGCATGTTCTCTTATTCTGGTTGGAACACTTGGCATTATGCTCTGTAAAGCCAAGGAATTCCTGACTTGGAATGGCATAACATTACTCAATTTTTTTTCCTGAAAAAATGCGGAATGGACTTATGTGTATTACTACATATAGGGAAGTCAACTAACGTGGGAATGCTGTAGCACTTCCTCTAATTGAAAATTCTTTCTTTCCCGTTTTAATTTTGAGCGGCTGCTGAGAGAGGGGCTTTTAATGCTCTTTCGAATTTAAACGCTAAAAAGTTCTTACAAGAAACTTTTTGAATTTCTCTCAAAATTGTATTATAGCCCAAGATTCGACTCATTCTTCCGTAGAGAATAAATTCTTACAACAATCGACTGATTCAATTATTTTCAAAAGTAGTCGTTCTCATTTGTTGTGAAGGGATTGCTATTGCCTTTTTATGTCTCATATAGCTTGGAAAGAAGAGTTAGGAAACGCAAAGCTGGAAGAATATAAAAGGAGGCTATTAACAAGTGTTTAGATTGCACTATGGTTACATAATAGTGATTATTTACGTTGCATTAAAATCAATTGAAATTTCGAATTAAAGACAAACTTTCTAGCACTTCAAATCCGTCATAAATGGACTAACACATTCAAATTGTATAGCGTGATAAAGGCTATTGTTTTACTACTACTACAATCCTATTTCTAAACGACTGCTGACACACTCTCAAGAGTTTGGTACTAACCTACCTATATAAAGAGATGAAAGATTTGGTGCATCGAGGGATATGTTAGGTACCTCCATTCTAGAACCCACCGAATTGTACTGGAATAATCGAAAAATAACACAAGACATTGATGGCCATTTAGCAACTAGCTCATCGATTTTCCTTCTCTATAACATGCAACCTTTTTTTCTTTTAAAACATTAAAATAGTATTTAAAACGCTATCGCTCAGATCTAAATCTCTTAGAACGAATGTCTCATTTACTTGCATTTTCGCCGTTCTTATAATATCGGACGGACACGAGTGTAAATGTATCTCTAAGATACCCTATAAAACCCAAGACAGTGACAAACGCTATTGCAGTTGCAAAATGTCCTGATGAATACACGTATATGAGGACGGAGTTAGAATGCGAAAAACCTCGAGACTGCATGAAAGGCCAAGTAGATGAAAGTGGTGCAGAGGAACGTGCTCTATGTGCTGAATATTTTGAGAGAAATGTTGCGCAGAAAAAACGATGCTGTCCAATTGGTAAGCGCATTGTTTTAGAATATGTAATAATGTGATTATCCGTTTTGTGGTGAAAACGTAATATGAAAAAAAAAACATTTCACAAAAATTAATGGTATAACCAATAAATATGATATAATGATTGAGGAAAAGAGATACTAACAGGAACAATGGCAGTTCTAGTTTGCATCAGAATACTCGACTTTTCATTATTCTCATTATTTATGGTCAGCATAACGTAGAATGCATGTATCTCTCAAAAGCATACCTATATGTTTTATGAAATTCATTTTATTTGACAAATGTCAGAGACTTTTTAAAAACAAATAGTGATTTTGTGAAAAATTTGGAAGTATCTTTTAAAATGGTAATGTTGTGTGTAATGGTTAAAATGAGTAATCGATTTGTTGGCCTATCAGCCTATACATCTAATCAGTATTTAAAATTTTCGGCTAAGAAATTACATGCGGCTAAGAGGTTTCCGAAGAGTCTTTCTAGTCTCGATTGGGTTATTATCAATTGTATTAGGTGCTGAAAGACATGCTATGAAAGGAGTCATTTCGATTATGCTTAAGCTTTAGATCTAAGAATATGCAAGTTATCATGAACCTGAAAGTCATTGGGAGTTTCTTAAGTGTTATAATAATATCATGATAAATCAACTTTTGTAGAATTTGTTTAATGCAGATTCTCCTTTTTTAGGCCAGAATGTGAAAGCTTATTGTACTAGGAGAAAGTGCTCTACACTTTCTGATTGTAATGCGGGTCAATACTGTGAACCCTCGAAGAAAGTCTGTTGCTATATTGGTATGTAGCTTAACTATAATTACAATTTAGAAAATTGTTTGTTTTTTCAATATCTTTTCATCTAGGTGAAATGAAATTAGATGGTTCACAGCATGAAAAGGGTGAAATCTGCCAAGGTCCATGTTCTGACAAAGAGGTTTTTGGTAAAAAAATTCCGCGATATTGTGTTAGGTTAAAGAGCGATGAAGAAAGCGGACTTTGTTTCGTTTCACCTTATGTAAGTTTTGCTCAGCTTACTTGGAATGGCAATATAGTGGATTGTATGTTTTAGCTTCGTGTCAAAGATCGTGATCGAACTGTGAATCCGGTGTACAAAGCAGTATTTATAATATCAGTAATCCTCACAGTGGTATTCGCATTCCTAGCCGTGATTATGTTCGTAAACTATCGTTCGAAGAACTTCTGCGATAAATACACGCCAAAAAAGAAGGTAATCTAAATTTTACTCTTCCTCTTCCTT